AAAGCAGGAGGGAGCAGAAAGCAGCCAGGGCAGAGGCGAGGGCTGTGCTCCCGCCAGAGGCCCCGAGGGGAGGCCCCGTCCGTCTCCGCCACACCCCTTCCCCGACTCATCCCTATCAGAGACACCCCTTCCACCTCCTGGAAGGCGTGCCGAAGAGGCTGGCCCGCTCTTCCCACCCGCACGTTCCTCTTGGGGGGTTGAAAAGTCCTACACTGAAGAGATGCGGGGCGTGGTGGCGCACGCTTGTGATCCCAGCACGCAGGAGGCTGGGGCAGGAGCATCGCCACGAGCTCCAGGCCAGCTTGGGCTACACAGTGAGTTCAAGGCCAGCCTGGACTACATAGCGAGACGCTGTATCAAAAAAACAAAAGCAGAGCCACCTCTGAACGAGTCCCCGCACCAATAGGCTCCGCGCTCACGACTCCCCTCGGCCACACGGGGGCGCCCCACTCCCAGGAACAGTGCTTGCTGCCGGACTCGAGTCCCGAGATCGCAGTCTCAGACCCGAGCTCAGGCCGGGCTAGTCGAGTCGCCTTTCTACCTCCTCCTGTCCTTCCTTTCTCGGCTTTGCTGGGACAGGGCCGCCGCTGGTCGCGGCCTTTCCCCACTTGCCGCGCCGCCAAGCGACCCGAAGGGTTAGGTGGGGCGATGGGATAGGGCTCGGATTTTGTCCCCCTTGAAATTCTCTTGGCTGTTTTGAGCTTGCGGGGGCAGTGGAGAAGGACAGAAGCCAGAGGAGCCCAAAGTCCCCGAGGTGTAACTTCGAGGCCGCGTCTGCACCTTGATGGGCCGGCGTGCCGGGCGCAGGACGCTGCCCCTCGTCTGATCCCAGGATTCTGCTAGTTCAGGGAAGGGCAGGGGAGGCTTGCCGCACTTCAGCACCAAGGCTAACGACCTCCTCCGCCTAAGTTCCACACCCTTTTTTTTTTTCTTTTAGAGACAGAGTCTCCTACGCAATCCAGGCTGGCCTTGAGCTCACTTTGTAGTCCAGGCTGGCCTGGAACTCTCAACGATCCTTCTGCCTCAGCCTCCCGAGTGCTGGGATTACAGGCGTGCACCACACGCCTGGCTCCAAACCCTTTTGACTCCCATTGCAAGCCCTCCTTCCAGTGGACAGATCCTGGCAGTCCCAGTTCCACGTTTTCTTTTTAAAGTCAGGGTCTCACTTGTAATAGCTCAGGCTGGCCCAGAACTCCAGACCGTCCTGCTTCAGCTCCTGAGTCCTGGGATTATGCGCCCATGCCACAAAGCCTACTCCTATTTCTCAAGAAGTGTGCGGGGCTGTCTACAGACAGGGTGCTGACGGCTGGGGCCACAGTTCTGCACGTTTGCCAACATCTGCCTTTTTGATTTCCCTTGAGAGGCTGGCAGGCAGGAAAGCAGTACTGCCCTTCTACAGAGGAGAAAGGCGAGGCCAAGAGAGCAGAAACCACGGAGCTCCTGCGCTTCTTTCCTGACTGGCCCGAGGCAGGCCACCTTCGAGGACAAGCGCGCCCCTCTCCACCCAATCTCTGACCCTAACAGCCTCGTCGGGAGGGGGTGGTTTCATGAAAGGCACGTGGAAACGCTGACTAATGTGATGTCTTCGAGGCTCGGGACCCTGACTGCTCTGGAGGACCCAGGGCTGGCAGTGGGAAGGGCTCGTGGAGTAGCGGGCCGCCTCGGTCCATCCAGGTCAGACGAGCCGATACCTGGCACTGCTCCCATCAGGGCCGCCTGTGTGAAGGGCCCTTCTGGGGTCTTGCAACCGAGGCCCCCTTGGGGTCACTGCGTGGGGCAGTCGCTCATTGCCATCCTAGTCCCCCCCATTCTGGAAGGTCACCGCCTGTCCTATGTCCTCAGCTGTGCCACCCTCAGGAGGAGCCTCCCACCGCCCGTCCAGCTGGAGCTCCTCAGCAGGGCTGCACGAGAGACACAAACACACGGACACGGAGACGCACACGAGGTGACACAGCCACCTGCACGAACACATGGGCGTGCCGGCCAGGCCCAGGGATGGATGAAGGCAGCGCCCTGGTCTCACCCCCCCCCCAGAGAGACAGAGAGGGTGTCCGGCAGCAGAGTGCCTTGGGGCCCCGAGCTCCTGTCTCTGGCTCTGGAGGAAGGCAAGAGGATGTGATGTGTTTTCTCCGGGGTTTGGGTAAAGTTCTACGGGGGCTACTGGGGACGGAGGAGCTTCTAGCACTCTGTGTAACTTTGGGGCCTCCCTACGGGGCCCAGGTACTGAAGCCACCCGGCGCTCCTGAGCCAGTCTGGGCAGCTGAGCACTACAGCCCCCTCTTGGGTCCTCCGGGGCTATCTGCAGAACACTTAGGGAAGCGGAGGGCACACGAAAGGCCCCCAGCTGTGCCAGAAACCCAGAGAGGCAGCGAGGATACTGACACGCGGACACTCAGGGCTCTGCCGCACGCATCCCTCTTGAAGTACACAACAGACCGAATGCTGCCGCCGCTCGCCCAGCCTCACGGCCGCAGAACACACCGCACACCAACAGCCGCACAGCCGAGGCTCGCTCATACAGTCTCTGAGCCTGACACCCTCTGGCAGCACACGCCACTTCGTACGGCGGCACACTCGGGCCACAGTGGGGCACACGCACCACACGCAGGCGGTCAAAGCAGCAGAGCGCCCGGGCCTCAGTCTCACGCACACACCCGCCGCGGCCGCACTCGCCCGGGCCGTCACCTGCCCAGGGCGCGGGCAAGGCGCGGGAGGCGCACACAGCCGGGGGCACGGGCGCCGGGCGCTCTCACGTAACGCCGCCCACTCCAGGCACACTCCCGGCCCCGTGTCACACGCCCACGCCTGCTGCCTCTCCCTCCTGCCCCTCGCCCCCACCCCGCCCCGGCTCGGCCGCCCAGACCGGCTAGGAGGGGCCCGGGGAGGGGCTGCGACAGCTGGGGCCGGGCCGGGGGTGAAGGGTCGCGGAAGGGGCCCGCCCC